CCATTTAAGCCGTCTCCAGCCATTATTAATCTCAAAGTGGGTTCCTCGTCATCGAATTTGAAAACTATAGTATACTGAAATATGTGTAGTGAATCAAAAAACTGATTATATCTCTACGTTTTTCATGGCGTCTTTCTTCATTTCACTGAAAGTATACGTTCTGGTGAAGAAATGAAAAAATTTACAAATCGATTACGTGTTAATCTTTTGAATAATAATTAACAATTAATTTTGATGGTTAAGTCACATGTTATTCAATCACTTAAAATAAAATAAATTTCTTAGACATATATATATATAGAACCTATTGTGTTGTTTCCAAGTTCTAAACTTGTTTCTTCTCTTCATAATTCAGCGCAAAGAAATCAAAGGCCTTTATCATATCAATCTCTTGCATAATATTGTAGTTAAATAGTTAAGTCATCTCTTACCCTTCTTTTATCAAGAAATGATAAGCTATTTTAGTCTACCTCTATAAGGTAACCTGTTCATCCTAGCAGCCATCCTCTGAACTATTTCCAATAAGTGGGTATCTCATCAGTTTCACTAATGAAAATTAGAAAATCAAAAGGCTCAAGGACTGACCTTTGAAGAACTGCACTAACAACAAGGGTTTAACTGGAATGTGCTAACTATACATAATTTAAAATGCACTACATAGTATCATGTTAAACAAACATTCAAAATTAACTTATCATTTTTACTACCAGCTGGCACTCATAATTATAGGGGTTCGATATTATTGAATGTCTCAGTTGCATGTTCTATTTTGTATAATATTTTTTCTAGTATTACAACCAGAAAAAAAGAGTGTAGTAGAAAAGACACAATTGTTTTACGATAATTCTAGAGAATATCTACAATGTTGTTTGATGAAAGGATGGTTGTTCAGTGCACTTGACTGAAAATATGGTTAACAGTGAGGGTACCTAACTGATGAAACAATACATTTTAATCTTTATAAACTTTATAATAGTATATCTAATTAGCTACATTCATTATTGGGTTGATTTTTATTTTTGATCTAAACGGATATTAATCTCATGTTTTACCAAAGTTTCTTAAAACAGATTTTGTTACGAATGTTACAAATTTCTTGTAATATCTTCATTGCTTCCCTAAATACCACAAGTTTCTTACTGTATCTCATTTTATCGATCTAAAACATCTAATAATGTTTGTTTGAAATAAAACAATTTGAAATATATTGAATTAGTAACTGTATACATTTTATTTTTTGGGTATTAATTCGGACTTTAATGCAAAACTGTTAATTTCTTCTGTAGTTCTACTTTTAATATGCTACAGTTATCAGTTTGCTATATTCACTCTGCTTCCTATTAATAAGGCTGTATAAATTCAGCATTTACAACCAGTTACTTAAAGTCCGCCTCACCATGCTGCTGAAATGGTTTTTGTACTGAACAAGTTGAATCATTAAAAAAGATATCAGCTGTTAGAAATAATACAAAGATATACTAAAATTTGTCTGGGAAGGGTTTCGGGTTTTTTATTTATTTTTTTGCAAATATATTACTGTTTAGTGGTAATGATGTGGAACTTGGTCAACAGCAGCCTTATAAGGGGAATGAAGGTATACTTTCTGCATTAAAACTGCATGTAATGTTGAATAAAATTAATGTTGTAATAACATGATAACGTGTTATAATAATGGCACTGAGAAATATCTATATATATAAAAGAGGAATTTTGGGTATTTGTTTATTTTTTCGCTATAGGAAACCAAACGGTTGAACTTACAAATTTTAAAATAACTTCATAACAACCAATTTTTTACAAGACATTTAATGGTTCTATTTATTTTGTATTTGGTTTAGTATTTAATGACGAAATTGACAATGAATGATTATTGCGCCATTTTTGTAATACATTTTTTTTTTTTTGTAATAAACATACAGACACTGAGATCACCTTGCTGTCAATTCAGTATTT